TGCAAAATGCCCATGACTAAGAATAAAATGCACTGGCTGACGCATGACGGACAAAATGCATTTGCACATAAGTTTCAAGATCTAAAATTCGGACAACGCTTCTGCATACTGTGGCCATTAAATAAGGGAGAATCAGAGAAATACGTGAGTAGGGCAGTACTGGCGAAAAAATGCAGTCCTGCAAATAGAACTCAACACTAGGCTCCGAATCTTCGTTAAAAAAGACAAGTGAATTGTCAGAATAGCCGTAATTCGCTGCAGAGGATTTATTTATTTAACAGTTACCGGGTGAGACAGCTGGAGGTTTTGAACAAAATTCTTTGGCCTAGTTCAGGTCTGAGGGCATAAATTATGCGGCTCATTTGCCATAGAGGTCAAGCGTTCCTCGCTCCGACAGCGTCAGACGCCTTTTAAGGGATGATTTGCATTAGTTGCTGCACGATCTGCAATCGCCTGTCTCAGTGAAGGCTAGCTTGTGGTACACATAGGCTGTTCGAGTACTGCAGCTCAGGTTGTCAGAACATTGGTGGTGTAAAACCGTATCTTCGCTCTGCTGGGTTCGAATTCCACTGAGACCGTTGGGTGCTTCATAAATTATGAGTCAGCCAAATAAATCGAGTTTGTCAAACTGCCAATTACTCCTTTACAGATCCATGAATACACCTGTCCAGGTGAACATACAATTTTCGAAACCGATACGCGAACAGCAAACTACACTCGATGTTGGGCGATTTTGAGGATGTCTACACAAATTACTCCCAAAAAGTAGACAGGTACATTAACGTATGACAGTTGTTTAAAGATTATTGCCAAGTTAATTTTTTGTGATAAAAAACATCTGGTTACGAAGGAAGCAAAAATACTAATTGTTGCAACAAGCGGAAAAATTGTCAGCCTAGATGCATGAATTGAAAGTATCGTAGTTTGGACCACCCTTCAGAAATTAAAAAGAAATATCGATCGGTTTAATTAAACCGGGTGCATTTTGGGTGCTGCGATTGTTTAGATAACATTCGAAAAGACAGTTTAGTTGACTAAGGGCCGATAACCGATCTCATGTTACAATAAAGTAGTAACAACGGGTATATTTGAACTTTTCTTTTAACAGACAGTACCTCCATTGTGTGTGTAGGCGTGTGTGTGTGTGTGAGAGAGAGAAGGAGATAATCGTAAGAGGTGGTCAAACATAGCGCTGTAGTCTTCTGAATCTACATGTTGGGACAACAAAATACGTGACTTGACAGGCTGCCATATGACGCCCCATTTCACACCACACAGACTACCCAGTTGTATGCGTGCGTGTGTATGTGTGTGGAGTGGCGTACTGATGGGTTGAGAATGAGGCTACCACGGCTCCTTCCTAACGTGACCTCTGACACTCTCACGCATGTGAGATATATGCTGTCCAGCCCCTGTTGTATGAAGTCCTGATGCTTGTATTTCGCGGGACAAGTTCCTGCATGTGACGCGCGCCGAAATGGTTACCAAATATGTCAGCCACGGTACCCATTCCAAGCACCCGTCAACGGACCTGTTCGAACACTGGCTGGGGCATGGGATTGGGAAGACAGTGTGTGGTCGACGACTCAACTCACTTCCCTCACTATAGACAATTTGACACTCTTGAAGTTGTTACGGTATGCTGAAAGCCGTGGCCGTGAAGGTTGATAACTGACGGGATAACTTAGACCTCAGAGTCGGCTAAGTCAATGTTTTTAAAGCGGTTGACAAGTGGTCTGAGAGTCTTTCTGCAATGGCTCCTTCCCAATAGCCTTTATGGGTCCCACCGGGTGTGGAATGGAACGCCCTCATGGGGACTTGGCCGACCCATCCACCTGCTTCCCCCCCGCTTCCGGTCTTCTCGACTATGCCTTGATGCCGGGTCCACATATGGGGAAGAAGAGAGAGTGCGGAGGATGATGCACACGTCACGCTCTGGAGAATTTGTTAAATGTCAACCAGTATAGCAACATGACATAAGTAGGCCATGCGATATGCGATTTCATTTTATTATAAAGTAGTGACCACAGGTACAGGACTTTCCTTTTAGCAGACGATGCCTACTGTGCGTGCGAGTGCGTGCGAGAGTGACAGGTAATCACAAAAATGACTAAACATACCACCGTGATCTTCTTGGTCTGCAAATTGAGAATGTAAAAAAGCCAGTTAGGGTAAAATGTGGTGTCAAGTACGTAGTAGCCGATTGGGGGGATAACACTCCTACCTTAAACTTATCTCTACCTTAAAAGTAAAAATCGCACATTTTTTCAGGTTTTGTCTAATCAGTAACCAACGTTGTGCAATGTGTGCGGTTATGGCCGCATTTAGAACAGTAGCGTAAAGAAAAACAAAGTACCAAAAATGCCCTTTCCTCTGGGCAATTTGGTTGTCGGTAGTAAGACATCGCTTTCGTTTCTGCATAAGGTTCCGCACAGCACATTTACTCTGGCGCGTTCAACCGTATGAATGGTCTGTGTCCCCCACTCAGAGTCGACCACTCACCCTCAGATCCTGCTTGCCGTCCGCTCTCCCTCTCTCTCCTCAGGTGGGGAGGAGGAGGTAATTCGATAGATGCCGTGCAAATCTATGCTCATTATGAACTAATTGACTCCCAAGTCACCGTGCCTGATCCACCTTAGTGTTTTAGCACACCCTTGACATCGTCGGGCATGGATGTCGAACTGTCATTTGTGTGTGTATGTGTGTGTGTGCCCCTCGCGCACCCCAGCGGGCCATGTGGTAAATGCGCTGGACCAACACGGGGGCCATACTGGACTCCGGCAGGCGATATCGGTCTTGCGCACCGTAGAAAATGCCAATATTCCGGGGTGCGGTGGTAGACCCGGCGATCGTCGCGCACACTGGACCCTGCCACCCATTATTGTTGTTAATCAAAAACCTGGTTATTTGCTGTGTGGACCAGGGGGTGTGAAGTGGGACGCCAAGGTGCGGACTCGACCGTGTCATTCACCTGTACCCTCCCTCACCTCCGGTCTTCTTAACTTTGCCTTGACACGGAACCCATATGGGGGAGGAAAGAGTGCGGTAGATGCAATTCAAATCCACTATCACTATAAAGTAATCCACACATAAGTCACCGTCCCAGCTCTCGCCCTACTGTGGAGCATACGGTGGACGTCACGGTCGTCGTCGTGTGTGTGTAGGGGTGAAGGGATGCCAAGCGGTGGGTTCACATGATGGTCGTAGTAGGTCGCTCATTTGCTCGCAGGTGCAGACTACGCCTAGCATTCATTTGCCGGCACCAAACTCTCACATCTGGCTCCCCGAAGCTTAACTCTGTCTAGCGGACACACCCGGCAACCACCTCGACCGGCGAGCTCAACCGGGTGAGGGTATCCATGCGTGCGCCTGCGCGCACGCTAGTGTGGACCTCGCTGGCCGGATGGATCTTCGCGTCGGAATCGCTGAGACAAGGTTCCGTATGGACCGTGTGGCCTCCTAAAGGAGGCCACATGTCAAATGAAACCACAGGTCTCAGGCTAATTCGGGCCGTTCTCTTACTAACGTAAATTCGTGGCCCAAAGTGTAGGTCCGCAGCCGTCTGGGAGAGCCGAGCAGCCCTATTTAGGGGTGCTTTGCTCGCCCCCCATGAGGAACGGGCTAGGAAAGGCGCCCTAAAAATTGCTGGCAGCCACGCTGTCTGTCGGCTGACCGTGGCCGCAGAAAAAAACACAGGGTCGAAACAGTCAAAGCAGAAACTACAGCTATCTCTCTATTCCTTTTCCTGCCTAGTCTTCTTCTTCCGCCCCTTCTCCTAGCCGTCCCACTCGCCAGACTGGCAGGGTGAGTCCATTCAATCTGTCTGCCGGGAACGTTTGTTCCCTTTAAGACAATCCGAGGAGCGACCGATCGGAACGGAGGACAGTGCTAGTGGCTCGGGAACTGGCGCGCTACAAGGTGAACACCGCCGCACCCAGTGAGACCCGGTCTTACGATCAAGGCCAACTGGAGGAGGTGGGTGCTGGCTACACCTTCTGGAGCGGTCGCCCAGGACAGAGCGACGGTACGCGGGTGTCGCCTTCGCCATCCGGAACGACATCGTTGGACGACTGCCCTGTCTGCTGCAGGGCATCAACGATCGCCTTATGAGCCTCCGTTCGTCTCTCTGGGGATGCAAATTCGGCACCATCATCAGGGCCTACGCTCCGCCGATGATCAGCCCTGACGTCGCGAGGGAAAAATTCCACGTGGACCTGCACGCCCTATTGGCGACTGTGTCGAAGGCGGACAAGCTGATTGTCGTCGGAAAAGACCATGCTGTTAGGAGGGGACTGCTCGGTCCCCATGGTCTCAACAGCTTTAAAGACAATAACCTGCCCCTTCTCCGCACCCGCGCAGAACACCGGCTTATCCTGACGAACACCTTCTTCTGCCGGCCGATGCGAAAGAAGGGCACCTGGATGCATCCTCGATCGCGCTAGTGGCACCTGCTGGACTATTTGCTTGTCCGGAGACGAGACCAGTGGGACGTGCTGGTGACAAAGGCGATTTCAAGCGCTGACGAGTGGACCGACAATTGCCTCGTCATTTCGAAGATGCGGATTCGCCTAAAGCCTTGCAGGAGGCCACAAGGTAATCGACCCCCAGGTAGGCTGAATATTGCCTTGTTGTTCTTGCCTGTCCTCCATATCCATTTCAGAAGCGAACTACGCCAACGACTAGACCACCTGCCTGTCACTGTTGGCGCCGCTGCCGCTGACGAGAACGCCTCCGTGAAGAACCGATGGTGTAAACTGCGAGACACGATCCAGCCGACGGCGCTAGCCGTCCTGCGTCGCGCACGGCGTCAACATCAGGACTAGTTCGATGACAACGACGCCGCCATCAGCAACTTGCTCGCCTAGAAGAACCGCCTGCACAAAGCCCACGTTGACCACCCCAACGACGACAACAGATCTGCTTTCAACCGTAGTTGTCGCCTCGTTCGACAGCGACCGCGCGAGATGTAGGATGCTTGGCCGGCTCGCAAGTGCGAAGAGATGCAAGGCTACGCTGACCGCAACGAATGGAGGAGCTTCTTCTCCGTGATCCAAGCTGTCTACTGTCTGCCAACCAAAAGTGCTGCACCCCTACTCAGCGCCGACGGCAGCACCATCCTCACCAAGAAGACACAAATTTTACAGCGATGGACCGAGTATTTCCAAGGCATCCTCAACCGCCCCCTCAATTCCGACCCCGCCATAGCCCGTCCGCCGCAAGTGGAGACCAACGCCGACCCCGACCTCCCACCCCGTCCCCACGAAACCATCAAGACCGTGCAGCATCCCTCTAGCGGGAAAGCGCCTGGTCTACAAGCACTGCGGAAACCAACTCATGGATCATCTGACTACGCTCTTCTAGAGGATGCAGCGTCAAAGATAAGTTCCGCAGGATTTCAAAGACGCCATAATCGTGCACCTATACAAGCGAAAACGAAATCGTCAGCTCTGCTACACTCATCGAGGCAACCCCCTGCTGGACTTCACCGGGAAAATCTTTGCCCGCGTCGTTTTACACCGTTTGGATAATCGCCTATAAAAAGGTCTTCTGCTGGGAAGCCAGTGCGGCTTCCGCCGTCATCGCGTATCCACAACCACAGCTCACAAAGTTCTCTTCGCCTACGACCACGCCCTCAACACCACCTCGGAAGAAGACATGCAAAGGAGCATGGATCTCTTCTCAGCTACTCAGGAGAACTTCGGTCTGATCGTTAAAACGGAGAGGACGGTGGTGATGCACCAACCGCCAACCAACGCAGCCTCCCACAACGCGCCGCACATCATCGTTAACGGAACCCACCTGCAGGTGATGGATGACTTAACGTATCGGGGCAGAACCATTTCCCGCAGCACGAAAATCGACGACGAAGTAGCCCGCCGGATTCCGAAGGTCACTCAACCCCTAGGCCACCTTTAAAGCACAGTTTGGAATCGTCACGGTCTACAGATAGGTACGAAACTGAAGATGTACAAGGCCGTCATCCTCCTGACGTTGTTTTATGGAGCAGAGACTTCGACGATGTACACGAGGCAGGCACGCCGACTCAACCACTTCCAGCTCAGTTGTCTTCGCCGCATACTGAATATGAGGTAGCAGGACCGAATCTCAAACACGAATGTACTGGAACGGATGGAAATCCTCCGCATCTACGTCATGGTGAGACGACTGCAACTGCGTTGGAGCGGCCATCTCTTAGGAATGGACGACGAGCGGCTACCCAAACGACTCTTCTATGGAGATGTCGTCACGGGTTCCCGCCTGAGAGGACCCCGCCCGAAATCGACCGACATATAGAAGTACAGTGAAGACAGGCGCCGCGATCTACGACGCCAAACACATCGCCGCCGTCACAGTCAAACGCGAAACGCGCAATTCTCAGCTGCGCCCATCCTGCCATGCCAACGTCCAACTGCTTCCAACGTTTCCACGGTATCAACGGACATTCCGGGCGCCAATCGGACTTTTTGGACACTTTTGGATCAACTGCTCCATTCGGATTGCACCAAACGTCATCACTCCGTCCATGTCTGCCTCGTCCTCCACGTCTTCAACTAATTTAGACCGCCCTCTTAAACCACAATTTCCATTATTATTATTTCTATTATTATTATTATCATCACCTTCTTCTTCTTCCTCCTCCTCCAACGCCGCCATTAACAACGGCTGCCGTCGTGGCGCCCGCCACCCACATGAACACTGCACACAATTCTGACAAAACAATGAATACCAACACCATCATCGTCAACAGCAAAGTTGAGGACCTGGACTACACCTGTCCTTACTGCTACCGCCGCTTCACCTCACACATCGGCCTGGTCGGTCACTTGCGAATCCACCACGCAGAGTCTGGCAAGCCAGTGCCTGGAGCACCAACCTACACCCGCCGCACACACCTCCACTGTCCACACTGTCATCGCACACTCATTCATCGCATGGGCCTATTCGGCCAAATGCATATCCACGAGAGCGGAATTGACTTCAGTCCCGGTACACCCACTACATCCAGGCCACATACCATGCCTAGACCCACGCTCATCCCATCGCCCTGTGTGCCCACAGACGCCGCCGCCGCGGCCGCGGCCGTCACCACCACCACCACCACCACCACCACCACCACCACCACCACCATCATCATCATCATCATCATCACCATCACTACCACCGACGAGCCCGGTGTATCTTGCTCACACCGTCGCCGTACATTGACCTCACACAGGGGTCTGATCGGTCACTTGCGAATCCATCGCACAGAGACTCGCCGCATTCTCCTCCACTATCCACACTGCCCCCGTACATCCAGCCACCGCAAGGGCTTACTAGGTCACATGCGTATTCATGACGGTAGACAACCGCGGCTACACCACACCATCACAACCTCCCACCAGCAATTGCATCACACAAAACCTCACCCAGCTCCATAAAATGCAAAGCACCCAGTTAGCACCTCTCATGAAAGTAGGAAATGTTCCTTTAAGCTACTTCTCCATGTGTGGTGGAAGTCACAGTTCCTCCTTCACTTTGCTTCGAAGCGCACAATGGACATCGTCGGGCTCGACGGGTGTGTGCGTGCCAACGCCTTCGGTTGTTACTCGGTTTGGCGGGCCTAAAATATGCTCATTTCTTGGGTAGAAATCTGCTGACAGACTCAGGCCAACCATTGGAGCAACTAACCTAGCACATCACTAAATCCTTTTTAAGAACGAACACTGAGTGTGTTAACTTGGTTGCAGAATCAGCCGAAAAATCGATTTGCCGCATAAGAATGTTAGGCTAGTACGGATATTTCAAACTCAGGGGCAGTCTTATACAGTTTAAATCCTCAAGCAATTCCACTGCCCGTTTGTACTCCTTTCTGGATAATACAATGATTAGACGGCTGAATATAGTTCACATGTAGAGCACTCAGTGCTTGCCCACAGTCGAAGCAAGAGGGGTATTAACTGTAACTTATTGTTCATTGCTTATTGCTTAGTCCGGCGATGAACAATTTACCGGGAGTCACTACGCATCCGAAATCAATGGGGATGGGCGTCCTGTTGGAAAAGCCACTGTTGGCGCTTATGATTATTCCAGGTTGTTGGAACGCGGCTCCTTCAAAGACCAGCATCGTGCTGTGTGCGTGAAAGCCCTAGAGAATTTGTTGAAGGCCAACCAATATAGCAATATGATATAGGTAAGCCATCTTTAACTAAGCAATCTTTTGCTTTTCATTCGATGTCTTACGATTGGCTTTTTAAACCTTTTTAAGTCTCCACTTACCATCGTAATAATCAACCAAAAACAAGTTCAAGGCTATCAGCAATATTTGGCAATACTATATCAAAGTAGGCCGTGTGTCTTCACTTACGATATTCGCCTTGATCTAAAAAGTGAATTTAACAAATTTCATAAGTGCCACTGATAGGTAGAGAAGCTTATAGGCGCGTGAGCAGATGCTGTTTATTCACACATACTCGTACATAACAAATGTATGACTTAATCTATTTAGACGAGCGAATATTTTGGTTAGTTTCTCTACACATCGTACGCGATAACATGAATTCAATCAAAGACGCGTTTTCCCTAGTCGATGTGCTAAGATCGAGAGAATATCATCAGTAATACGTGGGAATAGGATTTAAGAGTAAGTCGTCTGTCTTCACTTACCATATTCGTGTTCATCTAAAAGTTGGAGAGGCCTATATGCTTGTAGGCAAATTCTGATTACTCATACATACTCGTAAACAAGAAAATGTGCATATTTCATTTATTTATGCAGGCGATTCATGTGATTAGTCCATGCGCACATTGTACGTCATGTGTCAATGGGTTCACCGTTTAGACCGTTTCTTGCAAATGTTTTTATGGACATGATCGATAAAAGGAGTCCCAAAGATGTCATCAATGACCTTGATTTCTACGGTTGATATGTGGATGGTATATTTTGCCTGATAAGTCATACCACCGACTTCAATAGCCTAGTTCAGAAGTTTACCAGGGCGCAATCCTCTCTCTCACTCTGAGACTGAGGCGAATAACGAAATCACGTTCCTCGATGTACTTCTACATAGACACGAGGATGGGTCTATCCAATGCAAGACATTCATAAAGAAAACCTGGACAGCACAATACACTAATTTTCACAGTTTTGTTCCCCTACATATAAAACGAAATTTTGTTCAGGGACTGGCGACTAGATTGCGACGCATCTGCTCTTCTGAAACTAGTAAAGTAGAACTCCAACAGCTCCGCGAAAACGGCCATTTAGAGAGATTCATCCTCCGGAATAATAGAGAGCGTGCCACAAAACCTGCCGTTGCAACTGCAGACAAGAAAGGCTTATTTCTAAGACTGCCTTTTCTAGGAAAAGCAGCAAGCGAATTTATGAGACGACGAATGAGGACAGCTCTCAAGAATGCCTTCCCCGCTGCGAACTTGTGCGTATTCTTTGCAAACTCTCCCCTACCTCGGTTGGGGGACAAAGACCGACTGCCGTTTCCGACCACATCCATGTGTATTTATTCATTCACCTGCTCCTGTGCAGCACAATATAGTGGCCGTACGACGAGGCATCTGGAAAAGAGGGTACGCGAACACATGCCTGCCTGGATAGGTAGAGGGGAAAGTCAGTCGATTTCAAGTTCACTTCTCGCACATCTAATCGATATGAACCAATAACTTGACGTCAAAAGAGCCTTTAAAGTTATCTACAGGGCGCCAGCACATCACTCTAAAGGCCTGCGCAAACGCGTGCTAGTCGCAGCCGAAGCAGCGACCATTCAATTAATGAATCTAACTCTCTGTTGTCGGAAAACGTTGACACAAGCAGTCTGTCTTTCCTGGCCGACTCCAGATGCTGATCGCACGCCGTCCCGACGCCCTGAACACAGCCACGCACATTCCGTGTGTTTAACAGACAGACAGCGCTCACAATCTAACCCAAACTCCTCTCTCCACTCCCTCCCAACCCCAACACCACCGCCTTCAACACACTAAGTCCCTCATACGGGGGGCGTGGGAACATGGAGTCTGACTAGTCCTGCCGCCCGAGGAACATTTATATTGTGTCCACAATTAAAAAGATTACTACCCATGTAACTATACTGGCCTGACGATTTACTGAAAACATATGTTTACAAACGGGAATTCCAACACAAATTTAATTTAAAACGCGCTTTCTATGGTCGATGTACCGAAGTCGAGAGAATGTCATCAGTAATACATGAGAATAGGATTTGAGTGTAAGTCGTGTGTCTTCACTTACGATATTCGCCTTGATCTAAAATGTGAATTCAACAAATTTCGTAAATGCCACTGATAGGTAGAGAAGCTTATAGGCGTCTATAGGCATGCATGTAGATACAGATTACTCATTCACACGCAAACACAACAAATGCGTGGCTACATCTATTTATACAAGCAAATCATATGAGTCGTTCCTCCATACATTATACGCAATAACATGAATTCAATCTAAAACGCGCTTTCCCAAGTCGATGTACTGAGGTCAAGAGAATGTCATCGGTAACACATGAGCATAGAATTTGCGAGTAAGTCGTGTGTTTTCACTTACCGTATTCGTCTTCATCTAAAAGTGAATTCAACAAATCTCATAAGTGCCACTGATAAGTAGAGAATCCTATAGGCGGGTAAGTAGGCGCTTTTTACTCATACATACTCGTACACAACAAATGAGGTGACGACATCTACTTATATAGATATATATAAAACTGGTGCTCAATACATTTTCGACAACAACATAAATACTAGTGCTTAACCAGCTTGATAAGAGTGCAATAGGCCAAAGCGGACAGCTGTTTCACGGTCGTTACCGGTCATCAGCACGTCTTAGCGCTTCATTTTAGTGCGCCGAACAAACTCCGGTAAATCTTAGACCCCATTTTTTAATAATTGAACATCAAGTTGCTTTCTCGCGGCTACTTTTTTCGGACAAAATCTTGTCGCACAACGTTCGGCCACCTTTTTCTCCAACGGCTGCCTTCTTCTGTGCAAACTGTACTCGCACATAACGTTCATTCCTCGTCTGTAAAGATGCTCGCGGAGACTGCTGATCGCATTGTCAAGTGCTGTCAACCCCCTGATACAGTTCATATTTCAAGTCGTATCACGGATGTTAAAACTGCGCCTACAATCGAGGATGCCATAAAACGTCTAGATCTCCTCTTTCTTGAAGTTTCCGAGCTCCGTGCTTCCCGCGTCTCTCACCGTTGAAGTCATTCATTCCTCCTTGTTGGCAATCCGCATTGCAGTGTGAAGACCGTAAAGCGGTGCGATTTCCGCTAGTACCGCCACACCTTTGGGCCAGACGCCTATCACTTCCAATCTCCGTGTCGACACGAGCAATCTCCGAAGGTAAACTCACCTGCCAGCCAGTGGCGGAGACGAGCTTGGTCGGTTTAATCTCTCCAATTCGATTGCTCCATATTTTCGATAGATGTTTCTGCCGTACTTTCTTCCTGCGCATTGATGTCTGCATCTGTCAAATCTCACCTGGCCTGACTGACCGTAAGTCATCCAACTCTTCATTTTTTTCCAGGCGGCTAATAGTACCCTCATTAAAACCGTTGGTTACGATATCCTACTTTAGATCTTAGGTTACGACGTACATACTGCTAAATATTTCCTATTGCTGATGCTCATATTGCCATTCTCGTTGCTGCTTCCATATCCTGTTTTAGGTCCGTTCGTTGATATCAAGTCTCATGAGCTAGTTTACCCGATGACATCCTTGTACCCTAATGGCTAAATGCGTGCCACTTCGGCACCTATTGCATACGCTTTGACAATACCTTCGTCCATTCCCTATTCTCGTTGGCTTTTCGAATTCCCAACTATCATCCGGGTAACACAGTTTGGCAGTTCATTAAACATTCCTTTAGGCATCATATTTCACCTAATGGATCTTCCGAAAGATATCCGCTCTCCCCACCTGTCATGTTTTTCTCGAGCCTAGATGGTGCAACAATCTTTTCCAGCGTTGACCTAGTAAATGGCTTTCACCTTGTCCCTGTTGCTCCAGGAAGTACCCCAAAAAACGGCGATTACGATTCCACTCGGTCTTTTCGAGTTCGCCATAATGCCTTGTTGCTTCTGTAACTCCGCCCAAACTTTGAAATGATTCATTAACGAAGTCCTCTGCGACTAACCTTTCGCTTTTGTTTATGCCTATGATTTTGTAGTTGCGCCTCCCAATGAACATCAGCATCTACAACGCCTGCGTCTCAAGTTTTGAACAGATGATCAAATTAGGCGTTTTCATCAGCGTGTCCAAATGCTCTTTTAGCGTTTCTTCGTTATTTTTCGCAGGACACTGCATGGATGCTTTCGCGTGCCATCTCATAGACGCCAAAGTTTTACCTATTAAAGAGTTCCCCATTCTCACTTCCTTTCGACAACTGCGGCCTTCGGCCTTGCCAGTTTT